TATGCGACGACCTATCTGAAATAATCTCTCCCGAGCAACTGCCTTCATGTGGAGGAGGTCAACGTTATCACTGTGGCCCTTTAAATGTACCTCCGGCGGTTCTTCTAAGGAAGTTGGCAAAAAGCGATTTTTCAAACCCCCTGAGAACAGGTGGTGGTCACCGGTAACTTGTTTTGCAATTATGAAATATAACTTTTGACATTGTCAGGTGCTTAATGCATTGTTGCCTGTTGTCTCTCTCTCTTTCTCTCACTATCTTATATTGTACTTGTTCGTTCCAGGTTCTTTCCAAACTCCCACCGGGGACATTGGGACAGGCCGAGTTGATCTGTGAAAATCTGGGATCACCTCAGTGGCTGGTCAACGCCATTCACGAGCATCAGTGCTTGGTTTTATATTTGGATAGCCAGGCAAGTTTCTCCCTGAGATCCTATTTATTTCTCCACTGTCATCAGTTGTCATTAGTATCACAGTTGGCACTCTTTACATTCCGGGCCCACTTTTAGTTTTCTACGGTTTTTTCGATATCATTTATAGACTATTTTATTCAAGTAATATATTTTCAGTAATGGCCATTTATTCACTCCAAAACCCCGTTCGGTTCGAAAGAGCAAAATATGGTTCCGGTTAACATAGGGACACTGCTATTTGAGCCATACGGGAAAATAATTTGGAATACTTAAGTGTTTAGTCAGCTATACGATTCTTTCTCTGATCTCCAGTTGAATAGGTTTTCCGTACAAAGTTGAAGCCTGTCGGGGCAGTTAGCTTACATGGTAGCTGGTGGATGCCATATGCCTCTGTAGGTTGGATGGGTAATTCGAATGTGAACAGATCAGTGCTATCGGTGTGACCTCGTAGTTCAGCTGGTAGAGCTTGTGCCCACTTGCGTGGGTTCGAATCCCACCGAGGCTACTGGATTTTTCACAATCGCCGTATAAATGTATCTTCGAACACATGTCCTGTTCCACAGCTCACATACACCAGTTTGTAAGAACCAGCTTATCTCAGAAGCAGTCGAAGCCAGCGTCAGACTACTGGATAAAGTATGTCACACTTATCGGTAGGTATTTCCATCTCAATCTGAATTTCGGCCGTGTTCATTCATTTCATCAACCAAATTCTTTGAATGATTTGGCTAATTAATTTTGGTGTTTTTCTTAATCATTCCTCAGCGTTTTACTTTGTTCTTTCACCGGTGGTTTTACAAAAACATGAATCTTTCAAATAGCCCTCCTCAGCTATTTTACTGAACTAGCAAAACTTGGAGAAGTTTCATTCAAACCTGCCGTCAACAACTTCGGAATGCTCCACGAAGCTGTGCTGTCCCCATGCTTATTTTCACATATGTTTGGGACACTTCTTTTGTTTTTCCCGTACTTGTTTTGAAGTATGCTAATGATGTTGTGTTGTGCCAATCCATTTCTTCTTCCTCCAACCTTAATTCTTTCATCAATAAATTGTAGCAAAGCAAGCTTTTCTCCTCTCAATTGGGGCTAGGTTCAACTCCCGTTAAATGTTCTCAATTTTTATGTAGTTTTTCACGCGTTTGTTTCCCCACAAATCCCACAGGAACAATTAACTATGCTTTGCTCTGTGTGAGCTTCATCAAATACCTTGGAGTCTATACAGGAAGCAATCTTTATTGGTCAAATCATACTCGTGATGCAGGCCGGTAAACTATGGTGTCTATCATTTCAAATTTAAAAGCTCAGACAGTTTCAGAGTTCTCAGTCAGTCATCTCTACTTTTGCCCACCAAAATGCTTCCCATTGTTCTCCGGTTAGTCCCCGGGTTTAATTAGACAAAAATTTGAGGGCTTATACCGCTGTTCAACGATTATCAGTTCCGTTTTCTCGATTTTCCCAAAGGACCTAATTGAGAAGCTTTATGATCATCGGATCACTTCTTGTGGTAACTTTGAGGAAAGGATTCCTACAGACCCTAATCATTCGGTGCAAACTGCATCAGTATAGCATCATTCCTATTACTCCTTACTCGCTGAATCCCAACAAAAGCCATATCTTCCCAACGTTTACCGAGAGTCATATGTGCTTTATCTGGCACGTACAAACAATGAGAGAGTGTAGCAACTGAGCTGGACCCTAAATTTGGATAAAAAAAATGTTGTTTTGATCTCTGAACCATTTTTCTGGTGATGTATCCATTGCGTCATTTGGTGTGTGTTTGCTTGTGTGTAGTCTTTTTAAGTGAATTGTGAGATGAGGTGCTTTCAGAAATTACACTGTATACCGCAATACAGTACAACACATTCCATTCAGTCGGTCACCTTGGCAATCAATTCATCCTGGAGTCCTTTTGCTCACGTTTTCTTGAAATCAGGTTTCTTTTCTTGCTCCCGCGATGCGTCCAGCGAAAACACACAAAAATGTATTATGGTTCTTCTAAAGCCGTTCTCTCTCTCTCTCTCTTACTTTGTCCCATATGCAGGCAACTCACTCTTTTCACTTTCGGTGCTGTTTTGTCGACATCATGGTTGTCCGCAAGCTCACGGGAACATCTTTGATGTTTTGTTATCACAATTGTTGTACAGTACATGAGGAACACAAGGTTGAAGAACTAACTCCGTACTTCATTGATCTTGATAATCGACGAGGCGCACAACATCCATCCAGCACAGTATGATCAAACGACCTTAGTGGCCTTTCCGAGCGCCGACGATATTTATATCTGCATGCACAGTTTTGACTTCTGGGGAAAGGTGAATGAATGCCAAGCTGGGGAAAATTAGAACCACAGATTGTGAACAACGTAGGCCAGCTAATGAAGGTGATCAGATAAATCAGATCGGTGTAAACAAAGAAAACGAAATTCAAATTCTAAGAATGCCGATGAGATTGGTGGTTTCAAGGAACAACGCGGTTTTTCTACATTCTAATTTTAAATACTGTTCCTTTCACAATCCGAAGATAAGAATGTGCTCTTCCGGTTTTACGGTTAATTCAGTGTATTTTAAGGTAAGCAGTCTAAGGAAAACGGCTTACATGCCCATTGGTGGATTCCCTATGCCTGTCTAAGTTATCTGGGTGAGCGACAAAATCAGCAATGGAAAGAGATGGGAAATTGTGGAATGTAGGGGTGAAAGAGTGGTTGGCTCGATCCATTTATTTACGAGGTCCCGATTTGCATACAACTGCACAAGTCTATCGGCACCGATTGTTTACGATGACCTTTCGAAACCCATCTATAATGAAAGATAGATGTTTTTATGCAGACGCTAGCCGCGTTTGTGTTTTCTGATGTGATGCTTCATCAGACCGAAAAAAAAGAGTCTTCACAGCCCTTCAGGTTCATTTCTGAAGTCATATGCTATTGGATAATTGTTTTGCTCTTTAGCTTTCCTCATGATAATACTGGGCATGCGCCGGAAATTTATTTTCAGGTGATTCGTATCAGACGGATAGCGAAGAATTTCGACTGTCTAGAGTCGGCTCAGTCTATGTAGCAATGACAGTCGCTGTTAAAAAGAGCATACAAGCAAGTGTCCACATATCAGTCGTGTAAATTATATAATCGATTCGCGGACCTAGTGAGTAGTTCAGGGCTAAATGATTACTTCTATCCACACGATCCACCCCACTCTGAAGTCGGAATTATACTGTGCGACTAGGTCCGGGGTGGACGACCATTGTAATTATGCTTTAATGTGTTTCTATCTACGCCCGTCATTCATCTTCTCTTCTTCCATTTGCCTAAATCGATACCATAATTGTGGGTTTTACACTCTCCCTTCTCAGTCGTTTTCTCGCCTGCTCTACTGGATTTACCAAAGAATCTCTGCCGAAACCACATGACTTTTGTTTGTGATTGCATCAACTGATCGCGAGCACTTTGTTGCTTCCAGCCTTAGGTGGCGGCCGAATGATGATGAAGATGATGAATGGTTGCCTGGGGCAAATTCGATCTAACTTGTAACATGCACAACCCCACTTCCGACTACAACATCTGCCCACTGACCTACCTCTCTTTTTTACGCTGAAATTTAGTCTTTCTTTAGAACGGAGGGTAGGGTGGCAATGTAAGTACGGATAATTGAAATCTGTCTATTTGGATCTCAAACTACCCTACTTTAAGTATGCTATCTTTTTCAAACAACACAGGTGTGCCTCACTGTGTACGAGATGCGTTCGTTCTAATGGGGCAAGCGTGTTTTGTATTGACTTCAGTGCCACATCACATGTATGTACAATTGTGGAGGCGAAAAGGTTCCGATGTCCCGGTTCATTTTCAAATAAACCCAAATCGCATAGATCAAAGTATGAGCTCTTTC